CCAAACTGGCTAGGGCCAAGAATTCACTTTAAATAAAATAATGAAGCTATACTAATATAGGTATTTTCATCTGCCTGTCTCCCCAGTAATACTTCAGATAAAGTGTAGCTGGGTGAATAAAGCAGGAAAGTTTGGGGTGTGGATCTGGAATTCAAACTAGTATTCTTGTGAAAATTTGAGTGGGCTGAAGGTAAAGAGGAACAGGATCTAATATTTATTGGGTAACTATTATATGTTCAGGCATTTTCATGTTACTCATATAATTCTCATGGCAACTCACACCTGGCAGAGAGAAGTTAAGTAACTTTCTCAAGATTACTCTGTCAGTAGATTCACCAAAATTTAGATGCCTGAGCCCATATTCTTTGTACTATACTAAGCTACCTTGCTGGAGCTTTCTCAAATTTCCCAGCTCTGTGTTTCCCGCTCATCCTGCATCTTGCTCTAGTGAAAAGACAAAGCAGGTTCCTAGATTGATGCAGAACTCTAAGGAAAACAGAAATGTCCTTGCTTAGATTTTTCCCAGAGCAAGAAAGGTTTCAAAGGGCTTCCTTCCACTGCCTATGCAAAGATGATTAAGATAACATCCATTAATGTTAGAACTGGAAGGAACCTCTGGCATCACCTGCTAGTCTATCTTCTCTCTTCCACCAGATTTATCAAGCTCCTGAGAGGGAAAATTACTTGCCTAAGATCATACACCAAATTAAGTTAGAGCTGGGACTAGTACCCAGATGTCCTGACTCCCAGTCCATGATTCCTTCTTAATGTTACTAATTATCAATAATCTTAAAAGCGTAATTTGCCACAGACAAACCATAGTATGCATAATTTCCCTTAAATAATCTGGAGTAGCTTCTAATAGTAATTTTTGTCTTTTAATTAAGAGCTTGGAACAGCAATGATAATTATTAAATGATGGTACACTAGTACCCCATTTCACTTACACTTGATCTTAGAGTTGATACGATTCCTTTCTCCTAGACTACCTCTCTCAAGAAGTCCTCCATTCCCCCTTTGGTTAAGGAAGTTGCTGGCCTTCATTTCCAAAGCCTTATCAGAGGCATAACTCGGCCCCTTCTTTAGGCAATGAGGCCTTTTCACCTTTGCAAAAAAAAAAATAGGCTGAGCCCCCTTCTTTATTTTGCTTTGTTCCCTACTCTCCCATGAGACTAGAAGAGGATTCTGATAGCACAAGGATGTGGGCGAGGAGGATCCAGGCTAAGAAACAGTGAAAGTGCTCAGTTGAAAATACCTTGACACATTCAAGAAACAGAAAACAGCCAAGGAGTAAATGCTAAGAAGAGAATGCTTTCAAAACCTTTGGCGCCAGGTTGCACAGAAGGAATCCAAGACCAGGCAGACATACTCAGAGGAGTAAGGCGGATGACCAGGGCTGCGGGGTGCGTATGGGACACTAGCCTTGTCAGTGGGGTTTATAGCTTTCTCTTTTAAAGTGTCCAAAAAATCAAAGCCTCTGTTGAGCAGCCAGCTCCTCCCACCAGAACTCCACCAGAGGGGACCCGGCCATCAGCCCTAGATCCTGTCTCTAGCCCCATCCCGTGCTTCAGCGCATTCTCTCCTGGTCTCCGCCTCCACCCAGTTCCTGCTGCCCGTCTCTGATTGGTCCTATTCACGTCACTCCTACTCTGGCCCCGCCCACTAGGGGGCTGTCATTGGCAGC